TCATTGCGGGACCTGACTAAACCTCACCCAACCGTTCATAACTATAATGTGTATACTATATTAATCGTTAATCTTAACGATTATAACCTATTTGGATATTCCAAACAAAGTAATCATGCATACTCAAACCCCGTACGTGTACTCCTCGAACCACACGTGAATATCAGCTCACGACTTGCACAAAACACGCGCCAAAAGAACCCGTATGCAAACAGGTTCAAACACACAAAAACTGACCTGATCAGTTGACCGACAACCTCATCGGTCGACTGATAAGGTCGTTCACAAAACAACAGGGCAAACATGAGCCCGTTAGTCGATTGATGCTTGCCATCAGTCGACTGATGACCTCCCGTCAGTCGACTGATGGCAACTTCAGTCGACTGAACAGGCCGAAAATGCACAGTTGTTCTTCTCTTGTGTTTTCTTTAAAAACTTATGTTTTTATCAGATTATATAAATAAACTTGATTCCATTGTCATATATACTTAACCAGGAGTTTATTTAAACAAGATGAATCACATGAACACATAGATCTAGGGTTTAACATGCAAATCAACCTAATTCTTATTTATTTCGACAATCTAAAGCATATAAATCATATTAATCTATAATTAACTCATTAAAATAAATCCTAATGATCATGATCATGTTAATATACTAGTTTCAGGTTCGTTCTACTATTCTTGACATGAGTTTAGGCATGAACATCATAAATTAAGTTCTAACACGTTAGATCTTACCCTAAACATGAAATTAGACACATATATTACATAAAAGCATGATTTTTAATCTAGGGATAGGTTTGGACATAGGTGATCTTGCCGTAATCTCATGTGCAAGCCTCTAAAACGAACATCAAGCAATCCAAAGGTGCATACAAACCGTTCTCCCTTGCCACACGTCGATGATCTCGCCCTCGTGTCGGTATTTTTGCTTCACAAAGCTCACAAAACTCACAAGAAATTGATTTAGGGTTTTTGAGGGGATAGAGTGGCTGCTAGGGTTCAGAGATATCATCAAGGAGAAGAGTTTTTATGAAAAATACAGGTATTTATAGATGCAAACCCAAAACAAAACCCGTTTAACCCGAACCAGGAAACTTAGTCTGACTGAGAAAACCACCTTCGATATTTTGTTTGTAACTTTCTCATCAGACCTTGGAATAAGGTGATTTAAGATTTGATAGAAAGCTGTTGAAGAGACCCACAACATTTATCTTTTAAGTTTTTCCATATTCAAACTGCATCAGTATGTAAAACACGTATTATCTTAACTAGTTGTTTTTCCAGATTTCAGGCTCGTGTATATAGTATATGATTTCACTCCTATATTCACATATATACATTGAATTGATCTCAAATCAATTTCTAGCATACTCAAACATCAATAAATGTTATTTATCATCATATAACACATCTATTGTTATTTATCACCATATTTTCAAATTCACGGGGTTTTACAGATCCTTTGAGATTTTATTTAGAAATAGAGAATATTTAGATAATACAAATTTTAATTTTATTCTTAAACTAAGGGTGGGGGGGTATTCATTGGGGTAATTTGGGACAAATTGGGTAAATTTGTTCCAATGAGGTAATTTTACCCAATGGGATAATTTGAGTGGGATAAATTGGGATAAAATGAGATAATAGGATAATTTGAGTGGGATAAATTGAGGTAAATTGTTCAAACATACAACCCCAAAATCTTTGCATCAGTTGATGTTGGCATGCTTCTGGCCGTAGTATTTTCAAGATTTGAGTTTTAAAGACTGGATTAATGGCTTGCTTGGTTCTTCTTGTTGCTGCATCTTTAAAGCGGGTGAACGAACAAATGGAAATTCATACCAAAGAACTAGTACAATAGCTTATTAATACATAGCAAAACCACAACAAACAGTCCTAGTCCTCAAATCAGCAAAACCATCATCACGCTTGTTACCAATCCAACTCCAATCAAAGAATCACAGTCCTAGTCCTCAAATCAGCAAAACCATCATCACGCTTGTTACCAATCCAACTCCAATCAAAGAATCAATTGTTTAAAGAAACAGAGGATGAAACCATCATCACGCTTGTTACCAATCCAACTCCAATCAAAGAATCAATTGTTTAAAGAAACAGAGGATGACATATATTTTTTACTTCTACAGGCTTAACCCTTTCAAGCATTTCTTCAGAACAAAAAAAAACTAGAATCGGTGACAGGATTCACAGCTCCTCCTTGAGCTCTGCCCTCCACCCATCAGCCCAAGCTCGAACTCCGCGCCTCCCCAACCGCCGCCCTCGTCGACATCCAGATCCGTCGCCGCCCTCGTCAGCGCCCTTCGACCTCGCCACCGCCCTGTCCTGTCCTTCTCTTCCACCGCTCTCTACTCCACCAGCCCAGACCCGACAGCCCACTGCTCCTCCTCCCCAAGCTCCTTAGATCCGACCTCCAGTCTTCCGACCAGCTCGACCTCTAGCCCTCCGACCAGCTCGAACTCCACCCTCGCCAGATCTGATCACCGCCATGTCCTCCTCCTCCACCCTCGCGAATTTTTTCTGGACGAGCTCGAGAACGGAATGGGGTAAATTGGTTCCCCTCTTTTGTTCCAGGAGGCAAAATGGGGTAATTTGGGTCTTAGGGGTTGAGATATGTATATATAGTTGGTGTAATTTAGGGGAAAGTGGAGTATTTGTCCCCAATTACCCCCAACAAACCAATAACACCACAAAGATTACATCGGTTCCAATTACCCTAATGAATAACACCAAACATTGTTGTTCCAAAAATTATCTCATTATCCCAAAAATTACCCAAATGAATAACGCCCCTAACTAGTGTTTCATCTACTTCTGAGTTACATTTACCAAAGTATCATGTGTAGCTTTTCAAGAGAAATAAATAAATTCTTTTTGCTTAAAAGTAGCAAAAATAATCTCTACTTCATAGCTATTCTCGTGCAAATAGACATGCCTAGGTGGAACTACTAAGAAATTAATGGTGATAGGTACGGAGTCCAAGCCTATGTCTTTAGGCCCTGTTTGGTTGCATAATAACAATGCTGAAAGCCTGACAAAAGCCTGACTTTTATCAGCCTTTAAGCCAAAATTGCCTCTTTAAGAGGCGATTTTGGCTTAAAGCCTGACAAAAGCCAGGCTTTTGTCAGGCTTTTAGGCTTTTTCTTTTGCAACCAAACGGGGCCTTAGTGATTTTTTAGTTTTTGTACATGAACCCAAAAGTTCTACTCTACTTTATTTTTACGCATCCGCTCTTCTAAAGTTGGTATTTTACCAACTAACCCGAAGCTTCACCCCATTTATTTTTGAGCCCACCTTCCTCTAGAAATTTGTAAGAGTTTAATATGCAATGTATGTTGCTATATTTTGGTGCAATCTACTATATATTTTCTAAATGTTTAGTTGCACCATGTATTTTTAAAACAATTTCTGAAACTATTGTCGCGACATCACGCGGGTCAATTTTGCTCATTGTTACTAAAAGCTACTCTTCATACAGTTATACAAGATAGAATACATAATATTGAGGTTTCTTAATACAGATCCACTATAAAATAGTGGTTTTCCATAAACCCCCACAAAAATTTTAGCTTTCATAAAACCACCATGATAGTTTGCACCAATGACAATTTTCCACTAAGCGATGACTTTCATTTGTATTCTATTAATTAATTTGTATTAAGATAAAATTCAAATTATCAACTCTTAACAAGACAAGGCCCTATCTAAAATTTTTGGTTCGATTGTAGAACAAGCATATAACTAGAATATCTTCCTCAAATCAAACTCATACTGAGTAGCTGTTTGAAGGAATTAATAAGATTTAAGGAATTTAATTGAATTTTCAATGATTTAAGTGACCAATTGAAGAGGGGCCAATAAAGAATAAACCTGAAAACAAAGGGCTTTTTATATTTGATATATTGAAAACAAAGGGCTTTTTATATTTGATATATGGAATTAGTTCCTCAAGTCATTGACATTGGTATTAGGTTCCTCAACTAACATGAGTTATTTCAAGTTAATCTCTAGTTGCTACTTCTACTCTTGATGAGAAGTGCAAAATTTAAACACTTATGATAATTGAGTGATCTAATAGCAATTTCAATGATTTGGTGGACCAATCTCAAAACATGAAGATGTAAGCGGCTAATATTGAAAATCCTAATTTAAAGTATAAAAGATGTAAGGGACCAATATGTTAAACACCCTCGTTGAAGGTTTATTTAATTGTTAGTGCCTCATATCTTCAATAGTTTTATGTTAGTCCCTCAAGATCTTCACAATTACTCATATACTAAGGGTCTTGCAAATTTGCTCCTTAATGACCAAAACACCCTTGAAGTAATATTTTTAAGGATTATAATTATATTCTGGTACCTATGATATAACTATATGATATAATTATATTAGTGACTCTGAAGTCTGCGTATCTACATTGATGGTCTTGATATTACTAGTTGTAACTACACGGGTGACCCTGAAATCCAAATGACAAGCTACTTTTGGAGCTACTTGTATAATCACAATTAGTAATTTCAAGTCATTCGTATAGCTACGCAAATTTCAAAATCATCTTGTAATTACATCATACATCATCATTATATCGAAATGTAATAATTTTTTTTCAAACTAGAAGAAGTTTTGGGAGAAATATAAATTGAGGGGTATTTGGGGCCATTGAAAGAGCAAACTGAAAGATCCTTTAGGATTTTAGGGACCTATGAACAATTTCAAAGAATTGAGGTACTGACATGGAACTACTGAAATTTTCGAGGGACTAATAATTAAAAAAAACTCTCTCCCATCTTTCCTTTCCCCATTTCTCTCTCTCTCTCTCTCTCTCTCTCTCTCTTCTTCCTTTACGACCTCTTCCACGTCACCCTGTTCCTTTCCTCCCAGATTCTCTCTCCCGATTTCCTCTCCTCAATTCCCCCCGAAACCTCCCCGAAACCCTAACCCTAATCCAGACCCCCCTCTCTCTCATTTCGAGGAAGGAGCGGGAGGAGAAGGAGAAGAATAGCAGGATCGTCACGCCCCTAGCTGCGCCGCCGCCGGAGTCGCCGGCGCTGCTCCCGAGGTGGGGGATCCGGTCCATGTGGCAGATGGCGTCGCTGCTCAACTTCTTGCATGTGAGTTTGAGGGGAGAATGGTGTTCGGTTTTTGATTTCTAGGGTTTTGGCTGATTTCTTGTTGGGGATTTGGGATTTTTTTAGGTGTTTCGGCCGCTGTTGAATATTGCAGTGGAGTTCTCGGCGGAGGAGCTGGAGACGGCGTTGATTACGCCAAACAACACGTTAGATGATGTGCATATTCCACTGTTAAAGGTTGGTTCTTTGTGCATTTGACGGTCTTCTGACAATGTGGGTGATATAGGATTCTTTGCAGCTAAGTAGTTTTCGATTTTGAAGTTGATAGTATCAGTTTGCTTTTGTTGATCGTTAACTTAAGTGTGGTTGCTTTCAGACGAGAATTCATTGCATTTTGATTGAAATTGAGAATTCAGTTTTTCTGAGTTGGCATGAGATATTTATGCAAAGTTTTTCATCGGAAAAGAGTGTGTCAGCACATTTAGAATGAAAGTTCTGATGTGCATGATATCTGTAAAGTTTGAGTCTTTTGAGATTTGATGCCCAATGGTGCTGATTGAGGATCATTGTTTTTTTATTTGGGTTTAGAAAATCTTGGTAAAATAATTAAATCTAGTGGTTTCTCCTTTAGTACATTGGATTGTGTTCTTATCAGCCTGTAAATGTTGGTTCTTTGTGTATTTGGTTTGCAATTTTGGTGCTTTGAGAGTTTGAGGGTCTGTTGACAATGTGGTTAGTTTAGGATACATTGCAGCTGGATTCACATGCTAATTTAGTGTGTTCCGTGACTTTTGGTAGGATCAGTTTACTTCTGTTGATTGCTAACTTTAATGTGGTTGCTTTGAGAAGCAATTAATTCCATTTCGATTGGAATTCAGATTTCAGGTTTTGCTAGCTAGCATGATATAGTTGTGCAAGTTTTCACTAGATAATGAATGTTCTGGTATACATGACAGTAAAAAAATTTGAGCCTTTTAAGGTTTATTCTCATTTCTCAATGCTTCTTATTGGGAATCATTGTTGTCCTTTTGGGAATGATTTAGACCGGTCTTGTTGAAAACGTTCACTTTAGTGTTACCCTGTTTAGACTGGAACAGGAACTGCAAATTGCAGTTTTTGCAACTTTAGCAGTAAAAGTCTGTTACAATGGCTTGTTTAAGTCTTGTAATTGAAGAAAATGTAGCTCAGCATGCCTACATATACACAATTTAACTCCATGATTTTCTGTCATTTCTAACATTAAAATTAAGCTCAAGTAATGGGATTTAAGAGACATAATGTAATATGCGTTTGGCTTATAATTTTACTCTAGATATTTTGGACATGTGTGTTAAACAATAAAATATTGTACATTATAATTCATATTTTAAAAGCTACAACTATTCCCCTTTATATAGGGATACAATAATAAGAAGTTTATTCTGTAGTCAATGTGAGACTAAACACAATCATCTAATCACAATTATTCTCTTAGTTACATTCCTAATATCTCTCAATCACTAAATCATCTAAACACAATTCATACTTCTAATATATTATTCCTAATATAACTATAACATTATAGATCTCTATGATATATTCCTTAACAATATGCAAGGAAGTTTTAAGGACTTGAGCTAATCTAAAATATTTACGTTGAAGGTAAAGCATAATAATTCATTGTTGTTTTGATTAGTTCTTTTTTATTCTGTCTTTTATCAATCTTTTCACTTGTAAGAGTTTGAAAGGATCTTCTACTAGCTTATATAGGAAGAAATTGTCCTTGGACCTGCTATTTCAAGCAGTGTTTTAAATATCGGCTGCCATGTCGGACATGGCGGCCGATATGACGGTTTTATACCCTAGCCGCCACGATATCCTTCATTTCAATGCGTATTGCATTTCTGAGGTCATGTCGGGGACATGTCGAAAAATATCGGGTATGTCGGGCGCCATTGCGGCCAAGAAATATCAGCCAAATTTCAGAAAAAGCGGTTTTAAGCTTATTGGGTCAAGTTTGAAAAACCCGACTCGGAAATCAGGTGTCTACAATTGGTTAGTGATCCTAACATCAATAAGTTATGTACTTTTTCATATGTTTAGGCAATATAATTATCAAGTATGTGAAGATTCCATTTATGATATTATATCAACCTATCCGATATGGCAATCTGATATTTTTTTCATGTCCCCCGATATATCCCCGATTTTCGCTATCTGACATGAATTTTGGCCGACCGACATGAACCCGACATCCGACATTTAAAACATTGATTTCAAGGTTATGCTTCAAGTGCGTTCCTTGACTTACCCGACTAAGCTGTTTCACTTTAATTCTGTATTGTAGCACATTGGGAGACAAAATATAGAATAGAAAATGTGGTTAGCTGTCATGAAATATCTAATGCAGAAATATCTCATAGACTAAAATGGTGAGATGAGTGAAAAAACATGAAAAGACAATGTGGCACCGGCATCTAAGTAGGACTATCCAGCAAGTTTGGCATTCAGGGAGAAGTATTATTTTCCAAATGTTCTTTTTGGTTGCATAATGACTATTATACAAAGATTTCAACTCAACTACTTGCATAATTATGTGTTGGGACATCTTTCTTCTTACTTCAAATGTAAGGCACGTGTCAAACTTTTATCCTTGAAAGTACATTCAAGATGTATAATACGATCATCATCTCAATTTCAAAACGTCTTAGATGTGGAATATATATTAGGTTAAGAAAAATTATCAGCTAGCTGGTTTTCTTAAGACTTCAACTTTCTTGTCAAAACCTCTCCAGTCGAAGATAATATGGAAAAATAACTGGTTATTAAGTTCTCTTAAGGCTTTTGTTAAATAGTTGAGTAGTTTTATGCTGCTCACCATTTAGTATTGAATCTTGGTAGCAGTTGCAGCTTTGGTTCAAGTTGATTTTGTCAAACTTTCGGTTTTTGTACATATAACAAGTCAGTTTAATCACAATCTTTTCATTCATTTAATTTTTTATTTCTCTACAATATAAGACAATCAAATCAAATTTTGTTATTTCAAACCTCATTTTTTGCTATTTTATTTAGTTACTATAGTATCTGCATGTTTTAGTTGTTTGATAGAACTGACAATATGATAGGTTTCAGATTGATTGTGTTGGTACTTGTCATGCTCGAGTCCAACATCATACAAGGGATACATGTTGTGATCAGCTGATGCTTCAAACCTTGAGGAGCTTGTGCTTCTTAATATTTATCCAATTGGTTTACCCTTGTTATATCTTACATTACCTTTGCCTTCTGTTGACCTAGAATTTGCACATTCTTAAAGTTCAGTGGTAAGATGGAAAAACATTCTCTTGTTCCTTTGTTTACAAAACCTTCTTTTTTATTTTGTGCACAACTTGTTGTATGTGAAATTTTGTTAGAATATAAAATTACAACCCTCAATCCTCACCTTAGCTTTGGAGGTTTGGGGAGTGGACGCTTAATTTTTGTAGCTTATAAGTTATGCTAGCTTTTGGACTTTATGTTAAAAATTTTATAATACTTGTATGGGTAAAAAAGTCATTTTGGTGGCTTGTTGAAGCTTACGTTTTGAAACCTATAAGTTATGTTAGCTTATTTAGATGACCTTATAAGCTAGTTTTTAGAAAGTTATGGAAACCCAATTTTTTGAAAGAGACTTGAAAGCTAGCCTATTGTGATGTCACCAAACATGTAGATAAGCTAGATTAAAAAGCTACTTTGTCCAAAAATTTTGCTTCCCCAAACACCCTCATGGGATCTGAGCCAACCAAGGTTCAAATCCACAATCCACCTTGGTTGAAATCCATAGTCCACCTGGATTTTATCCCTTTTTTGAACCCCTGAATTGGCAGCTGAGATGGTTAGTGAATACTTGTAGACAGTGTTATCAAAGGTGTGTGCTATGGGCTATGATGCACGGATACGAATACGGGACACGGATACGACACGGACACGGATACGGGATACGACAAAATCCAAAAAATAGAATACGAGGATACGACAAAGATTTTTTTTAAATATTATTATATATAGAAAAATTTATAAAATTCAACTAATAATCTAAAATATGAATCTATCACAAAACAAGTTTGTAAACAAAAAATACCTCAAGAAGAAGTGGAAGCTGAGAGATTGAGAGAGAGGATTAGGGTTAGGGTTAGGGTTTTTTCTTATTTTCTTTTGTTTGAGTCAGCTGAGCATCGAGTCGAACGGGAGATTGGAGAAATAGGGATGGGTTTTTAATTGAACGGTTCAGGTTGTATATTAACAACCAATCCCGCAACCCGAATGAATCGGCCTTCGGCGAATCCGAACCGTGTTCGAGCTCCTTTGACCGTGTCCGAGCCTAATTTGACCGTTGACCCGTGTCGGACACGGATTGACCGTGTCCGACACGTGTCATGCACATGTCGTGACGAATCCGTGTTCGATTCGAGTCGGACACGGATTCGTGGCCTCTGAGGGCAAATCCGTGTTTCAGAGGCTATGGTAGGTAATTTTTGCCAATGCCCATTTACCCACTGGCCCGCCCATCACTTGGCCCACCCAAGACCCACCCATTTAGTTAAATGGGTCAAATCGGACGGGTTAATCTCAACCTACACTAAATGAGTACTAAATGAGCGGTATCTATTCACCCATTTACCCGCCCGTATTCCCTGAACCAAAACCCGAAGCCAGCAAAACCCTTCGGCCTTCAGCCTTATCAATACAAAACCCTAATCTCCCTCTCCCGCTCCCTCTCGCGCATCACAGCGGCCCGTGATTCCCGTGGCGACCTCGCCGTCGCCTCCCGGGGTTTTTGCTCTCCCCGCCGCCACGCCATTTTTAAGCCTCATCGACCTTTGTCTTCTCGTCGCCGAAATCACTATGGTAATTATTTCTAGGGTTTCTTCTCTAAAATCTCTCTCGAGTTATTTTTACAGTTGATTCGTTTCTATTACTACTTTGGACTCGAGTTATCTAGAGCTTGCAGATCTGTATTGATTCCTTTAGAATACAATAAATACACAAGTTTTTAGAAATAATTTATCTAGATATAGAGGTGAGATCATTTTTTTAAGAAAAAAAGATTGCTTTTTAGGCACGGGAGGTAATTTGATTTTGTTTTTCTATTGTTTTTGCTAGATCTCGTGAAGTTTATTGGTGTTATTATGAATTTTCTTTTTTCCCCTCCTTTCTAATTTTCTGAAATTATATATGTTTTAGCTTTATAATTGCATAGAGCAACTTTTTGATTGGAG